AGGCCGTCGATTTTAATACGATGCTTAGATCTGGGCCTTAGAAATATATATTTCCTTTCTAAATTTTTTGGATAGCTTTATTATCACCCGATTAACAGTATTATAAAAGAAATAATTGATTCTGAATTTATAATGGCTAAGATCTTGAAATTCACAAAATGGATGGTCTAAATTCGTTGTTAGAAGGGACTTATTTTGGCCATATATAGGGTGCAAAGTGATTTTTTTGTTGTTTATAGATTAATTATTGAGATGAAGAGAGTGTGTATATAAAATTTTTTATCATAAAAATACCACAAACATGGTTTTTATAGTATAAGCTCAATGCCTCGTATTGAACCAGGGCCGATCTGATGTTCACGGTTGTATTCTATATTTGAATTTTAATATTTTTAAATTTAAATCACTTGAACTTTGGTCGTCCACTCTTCTTATCAAGGAGCACCTAATAAAAATATTAAAAAACTATTCATAGAAAATATAATGACCAAAATATCTCAAGCTTTCAGTGGTATTTTGATCAATTAATTTTAGACGGATTATTTTTTAATATTTTTATTAGGTGCGTCTATTTTTCAAGAGGAGATGCTCAAAATATCAAGTGAATTAGATTTGTACAAAAAAATTAAAATACAAAATGCAATCGTAACCATTAGATTGGCTCATATTCAATCTGGGTTATTAGGCATTTACTATAATTGTCAGCTAGTGGGTGGACCTCATGTATATAGATAGGGTGGTCACACTATAAAGCATTTTATAATGGGTGCAATTGGCATACGGATGCATCCGTAGGTGTAGAGGTAAGTTGCACCTTCAAATGTTATCATGGTATATAACTTTGATGTAAAATGCTCTTAAGATTATCTAAAAATCTATTTTTAAATCTAATTATAAAATTTTAAATTTCAAACTTTGTTAAAATCAAATAGATCTATAAACATATGAAAATTTTGAAAATGAACGGCGTAGATAATATGTTGTAAAATGCACTATTTCTAGGACTTAAAATCTTTTTATTTTTTATAGCCATACATCTCGATGTCGAGATGATCAATCAAAAGGTTTTTCAACATTAAAACTACCTTTTTCGATGGATTTTTGAGGGTGCAGCCGTAGTTCTACATTTTAAAGTTGCAAACTTATATAAACTTTTTCCTTTTGATATATATATATATATATATATATATATATACTTTGTTGCAACTTGGAGGAGCTGGTGTTGGGTTCCTACTTGGTAGGAAGATATAGGAAGGAAAGGAAAAGCTAAAGAAATAAAGATATGGGTGGGCTTCCTTGCATGTCTAGAATGGGAAAAATATCTCGCAAACTTTAGTGAATTCCACTCAAGAGAGGCTATTTACCTCGTCTCTTTTTCTTTTCTTTTTTTGCCTTTATTCTATATCGCTTCTTTTTCCTATGAAGGATTTAAAGGAAAAATATTCCTTGTCTAGGGGTTAGTTATCTATGGGAAAAAACATTCCTTGCAGGGGCCTTGGACATTATACAGGGTGGTCCCAAAAGCAAAAAAGGAGGTTTGTTTACCATATTGCTTGTAGCATACTGTATGGTGCAGACAACAGGCATCAGATGTTGTGTGTAGCATATTGAACTATATGCTACTAGTATCATTATATACTTTTGCTAGACCATGCTTTCCCTTCCAAAGTAAGGCAGTGCTTGTTCTTTCTCCTATAAAATGTGGTTAATGAGAAGGAACCTCCCTTTTCTTCAATGTAATCAGCTTTGAGAGGCACTGTCAGTGCCCTCAGTTCTCTTTTGTTTTTCTCAAATTGCAAGCTTTAGAGTTCTTTGCTTCTTTCATGGGGACATAACATATTCTCTTCCCCGGCGTAAAGCGGTGGCATGAATCACACAAACTACACAATGAAGTGATTTTTCATTTTTATGTGATTTCCATAAATAACATTTTTTTTCACAACATCAGGATCAAAGGGCCCATCACCATCACATCAATGTGTCTGACGATAATTGAGTCTGAGCGGGGCCCATTGAACATGATCTGGACTCAATTGGATGTACTTGGCAGTCCAACTCAGTGCTCGAAAGATCGAACCGGCCTCATGTACAGAAGATTCTCTGTACATTATGTACTACTACCCTAACCATTAGAATCATACGATACTTTTCCATTAATATTTTTCTTTTTCTAAATATTACTTTTCCATTTACAATTGTAAATATGATCATGTAGGCCCTGGTCCTAGAGGATTAATGAACCCTCAATCCTCTTCAGTTGATCATGTACGGATGGTGGACATTTTCTCTGTTTAGGGGGTGTTTGTACGTTTATTCCTTAGCTGAAAGAGCTACATAGGAGGGGTTTTCGATCTGAAATTTAGCAATCTGCTAGAGAATCACGTGATGACTATTTTTAAAGAAGCATATTAGAATGGAAAAGGATATAAAGAACAGGAAAAATTTTAATAAGGTTACAACCTTAAAAGGTAGAATCACATATGCACCTAAAAAAATCTACCGGAAATGTTGTTTTAATATTGAAAAAACCCTCTAATCAATCATCTCGACATCAAGAGGTATGAATATGAAAAAAAAAGTTTTTGAGTCCCAAAAATAGTGCATCTTGCAAGATATTATCTAGAGCATCCATTTTCAAGATTTTCATATATTTATAGATCTACTTAATTTTAACCATTTTTGGATTTTAAAGTTTTCTAATTAGTATGAAAATAGATTTTAAGATAATACTAAGAATTTTTTACAACAAATTACATGTTATGATAAAATTTAAGGTGCGCCTTAATTGGATTGTTTAAGGTTGCAACTTATAGAAATCACACCCTATAAAGAAACCCTCCATTTTTAACACAAAGAAGTTATAATCACTCTTGTACATTAGATTTTAAATTGAGTGGTTGTGATTGTGTCATTGGCTAGACTCAACATTAAAAAGACAATTTCTCGAACTTTGTGAACCCCCAAGACATTCAATTTGACACTAATTATGAACTCCTTGTAACCAAGACAATGGTCTCATTGTATACAATCCCTATTAGAAATTTGGCTCTTAAGAACCTGACCTATCTCAAACTTAAATAGTCTCTGTTCATTCACACATTGTTATTTATTTTCACGTGCAAATAAAGGGAGATCGATTATTTTTTTTCTCTTTTTTCGATAATGATCACTAGAATGAAGAGGTAAAATTAACCATGAATCAAGAAGTGAATGGAGCACTTGCGGAGCATAGAATCCTGTGAGTTTGTGGGACACCCAGTGACAGATTGAAATTATGCACTTTGCATGACCTAGTTATATATGATTGGGAAAGGGGTCTAGGTTGTGATGGTAGCAACTCCATTCCCTATTGACCAGGTTGTGGTTTCCATTTTCACTTATACCGCCCACTTAACACTTTCAAAAATTTAACTCTTAAACTATTTGAAAAAATGAGAAGGGGCATGTCTTCCCTACAAAATAACCCAAAACATAAAAAAAACAAAAAAAACACAAACAAAAAAAAAAAAATTGTTTAGGGTTATTTAGGGTTATTATGATTTATGAGCACTTTATGCAGTAAGAGACATTCTTTTGGTAATACAATCGATTCCAAGAGTAAGAATGTTTCAATACAACCTTGAAATGAACAGGCAAAATCCTACCCCACCAACTAAAAGCGACCCACTTTATATTATTATATAATCAAAGATCATAGGCCATCGGAGAGGTAAGCAACGCCACTACACAGGTTATAGATCCATGGAAGCAGCAAAAACCCTTGATATGCTCCAGCCGCGATTTATCGGGAATTCAACTCTAACACCCAAACTGTTCATGAAATGGAAAAAAACCAGACTTCCATTTCATTTCAGTACTATAAGAGTCAGCAATTGTAGTTTTCGCTTGGGTCCTAATCCATATGGTGATTTGCCCGAGTTTAGGAGAGAGAATACTGCAGTTGACAAGAAATCACTGCTACAGTGGTCGCCCACAGGAAGGAAAATCGTAGAGAGTCTGGAGGTCAAGCTGTCAGATGACAAGAAGAGGGAGCACATTTTAATATCCTTAGCAGATTTGGATGCCGAAGAAACGGCAATAACAATCCATCGAGGCCTGGAAGAAACGGGGGTAAGAATCAAATCTTTCTCTTTAGAACAAATGTTATATATATATATATGAGCAATGATCCAATGCAACCGTTGTATCATAGTATAATGCAACGACCCTTCTAAAAGAGTATGTTTGTAGTATTTGTATAACCCCAAATTTTACACACACTCTCTTCATCTCAATAATCAATCCCCCCCCAAAAAAAAAGATATATTTGAATCCTAGATATGGTCAAAATGTGTCCCTTCCAAAAACGAATCTAAACCATTCATTTTATGAATTTCAAGATCTTAGCCATTATAAACAAAAAATAGTTTCTTTATTTTTTAACATTGTTCATCTAATGATAATAAAGCCATCCAAAAAATTTGAAAATGAAAAAATCCTTCTAAGGCCTAGATCTAAGAATCTCAGCAAAATGAACGGCCTATGTTAATTGGGTTAAAGAATACTTTCTAAGTTGTGTTTTCAATTTTTTATTTTTTTTATTATTCATTAGAATGAAAAGAGTGTATATTTCAAAAATTGGATCAAACAAATGGCCATAAGATGGTTTTTTAGGATTGTTTCATTATATTACTATACAACGGTTGAATGAAATCATTGCCATATATATATATATATATATATATATATATATATATA